CACAAATATGCTTAAATAAAACGATATGGATTCCATAAAAAAAGTCTGTGTATTAAAACTTAGACAAATTAAAGTAATGTATACAAATTCTATAATATTGAATCACAAATGTATATATGATAAGCATAAAACTACGGATACAACATGAAATATGTACAAAATTGATATAAAAATAGGAATGAAGTGTTTTATGATGAGATTATTACGATATGTACACGCACACGACTATTTCAACGTTTATTACTGAATATTAGATATATATGTAATTCTAGTATAAACCTAATTTAATTGCAGTCTCACTAACACCTGAAGAGGAAGCTTTTAATTAAGTGTAAATTATGTGTTTCGTAAACGATCCTGCATTGATAACTCTGTGTTTAAAAGAAATTGTGTATTCTTGGTTGGATATACCAAACAATTTAATTGAAGATTAGAATAGTTTGTTTATTAAAGAACTTTTTCACGTACAGATAATGAAATCCTAAGTTTGTCATTTGTTAAGACAAGGAGGAATTCAAATAACTCGACGATTTTAGCATAGATAAAAATGAATTGTAATAATACAGAAACACGGAAAATACACGTAATCAAGATGTTCGGGTAAGTGTAAAAGATGAAACTTAGTATCATAACCACTTAAATATCAGAGTTAAACTATTTCGACCAGTTCAACAACATATTTACGGACAATGTATTTTACTGGTGTTTTAACAACAAAGCTAAATTTGACATTCATAAACAGACACACAAACAGCGAGAGATCACTTATTGCTACAACGGTGACGAACAAATACCTTTGTTCTATACCTTGAATTATGAACCAGTTGTGACGTCAATACTAGGCGTTAGTTTATATATATATATATATATATATATATATATATATATATATATATATATATATATATAATCTGATAAACGATAATAATTGATGTGAAACACAATGAATTTCATTTAGCAGACAGAAGTTTCTTTAGATTTTTCAAAAATTAATTAATAATCAGGTTCAAGTGAAGTGAAATACCCACTGAGGATGAATGATTTTCACTGGCAAAATGAAAGCTAATAAAAACAGAAATTATATTAAAAATGAATTAAACAGTAATAGTGATAACCGTGCAAAACATGACAATGGGCTGGGAGAATGTATTTACTGTGAGAAGTTACAAAGTGTTCATATAACACATACATGACCTTCAATCGTCTATTTGCATCTTTCGGTATGATCTGCAATCTGATATCTCTCAACTGGCCTCCATAAGTTCTGCCAACGCAGTGCTTTCGATGCACTGCAACTTTTCACTTTACCCGACAATTGTTGCAAAACTTCGAAGCCACGTTCCGCTACATATTACTTACAAACAATCTTGTGAGAAGTGTCCACCAAACTACTACCACTTCTAATCAACAACCTTAGAAAATGTGATTTTACCGAATACAACATGAATGTTGTATACTCTTTTGCTCAACTGATATTATTAAAAAGTGTTATAATAGTTAATTTTTATGTCAAGGGAGGTACTTCCAAATAAACAACTCCAATTATATAAAAGCCAACAAATGGTGTAGCGCGATTTCATCGAAATTAAATTTGCAATACTTATTTATTCCTAGCTTTCAATAGTAGCTGATTATGACCATCAAAGTTTACCGTTCAGCTGATGTGTTGATTGCCAGGTAATTTTCTTCACTGTTCATTAGAAATGAGAGAAAATGTTGTGAATTAAGTGAGATGCGCTTTTACCCAAATTTGTCGGTCAGATGTCTTCTAGTTCAACCGATTTTTTCTACCATAAATAAAACTTTCGTCTTTGATTGCTTCATGTTGAAGTCAATATGTTTTGCTACAGTCCAATGAAGTAAATAGATATTTTGCATCAATTTCAATATTAGTTATTTTAAATTGAACATAGCTGAAATAAAATGAATACATATTACACTGTTATAATTATTGCGATTTTACTGCCATTTTTAAATGTTCCGCACGTTCACTCGTCGACTAGTGCAATATGTTCTTCTTTTTATTGACTGGTGGTGCCCACACTGAGAAAAATCGTCAATTGATATCGGTTAATGTCTGTAACATAAATAGAAGTTGTTGGTGGAAACTTGAGGTGACATGGCGAAAGATCCGTTCTAATGGGAAAATACTCTTGAATTTACTATCATACAACGCCTTTCTTTTTTTCATTTTATTTTTGTAATTTATTATGAAGCAGAAATTTAGTGTCTAAAAGAAACTGTTTAAAGTTGTCACATTAACAGATCGAATTCCACCTCACTAACATTTAGTTAGGATTGTATATACTGTTACTAACCTTCACACACAAAAAAAGTGACTGAAAGTTGTGTAAAAACTTACATTTGGAAATTCAGATGTATTATATTTTAAGTCGATACATAAACGTGTTGCAACCTACACTGCTTACGGACGAATAAATGAAAATATGATGCGGAACACAACATAAGCATATTCTGCTACAATTATTCAGTTCACATGAACTCTGATGATGAGTCTCTCAATGTAGAAAACAGATATCATTATTCATATGAATTTAACTTACTACTTGACTTATGATTGACGTAAATAATAGTACATATAAAAAGCAGTTAATAATGATCATAATAATATTCAGATAGTTGGATGAATTGAATTCACTTTACGATTAATATCTGATGGGATCAGGTTGAGAAATAAATTACTGATTATGACCAGATTACAACTTATGTTCTGTATTATATGTGAACTGTATTATATATTTAATAATAAATGACCTATATAATCTGAGCTTAATCCATACATTTTTTTTGTTTAAATATAAACTAGGCAACTAACTATGTTTATAAAAGAAATGTATTTGTCATAGCAATCAAACATATTTTAAGTTTGTTATTATTATAGATTTATTTGGATTAATTGTTGGCTTCAGACAGACATTTTCAGACAATTATATTGATTTTTTGCAAAAAAAAAAATACTATTCTATGGGATTTAGTCTGGTTTTTGAGTAGGTACATTTATTCATTAGTTGACTACTTGATATTAGTTCTTAATATAACTCATTTTGAAAGTATTAATTTAAGTACTCAGGTGTGAGACTTAGTTGTAATGATAGAGAACTCAAATAAGGATAATTAAAATTACAGAATCTCTTGGCAAAATATGAAAACCATACACTAAGTACTTCATTTGCAAATTTCAATGATTTTTCCTTCACATTCTGTATGATTCTTCCAGTTTATAATTCTTTTCTATTTTCCCTCCTATTCTCTTCAACTTGATCTTCCTAACCTTGTCGAGTTTTCTACTTTCGATTGGTTTTACATACTATTTATGTCTGTTGATATAAGTAGTATACACCATATGGTGAGATTACCGAATTGCCCAAACAGACTTAGGCGGAGCCTTGTTCGAAGCTGCAACGAAATGACTGGAATTATGCAAAGTATTTCTGTTCCGAAGAAACTCTACGGTAAGATTCTTATGAAATATCATAGGTTTTCGAATGAACCAAGTTATATCAGTGACCACCGGTGTATACTGATGATCACATAGGAATATTACACCTACCTAACCCTACATCAGGCAACAATGTGTCAAGGTAGGTGGTGGTTAGAGATACGTAATACATACCCCATCTGCTACAGTTGATGGAGATTCACTACCACACCAATTAATTTGCCATATTTATCTAGTAAACTGAATCTAACCTCAGCATTGCTGACTCAATGATACCAACATACACCAGCTATGCTTTCAAAGCGTTTATGGTCAAATATTGATAACTTGAGAGTATATTGTATTTTGAAATGCAACATATTAAGGAAGATGGATTTGATAGTGGAGTTTCATGGATTCCTGGACACTGTGTTTGACTCAAGTGGTCGTAATATTTCAAGTAGATGCTTCACTTATGGAGCCATTAGAGAAAATTCGTATATTCCCTTAAACAAATACACATAATTATGAGTTAAAGTTTGATCAATAAGCTAATAGAGAACAGTGTTAAAATACACCAACGAAGAATCTAAATATTATTATTCTGTGGAATGCTTACATAAAGGAAGGAGAATCGTAAAAATTGTTAGAATTGAATCAGTTATTAAAAATCCTACATTTTGGTATTTTTCCGTAATAAACAATTCCGAAGGAGAAAAACAAACGTATAAATTCACGACGTAAATACTCACAAAGGTTGACTTCAGTTATTGAAAAGTTAGTGTTTACCCGCAAGATTAAATTTGTCATACAATAAAATCTATTTTGTATAAATTATACAATGTCATTTAAACATAAAAATAATATTGTCTCATAAAATATTTCAATTAGCAATTAGTTAGAAAGTTAACTTCACGCACTACAAAGACAATGGAGACTACCACAAGATCGTGTGAAGTTATCCGGGATAGGATAGCATCCTTATTTGAAATAATAGAACATTAATATGCTTAAAATTACCAAGACTAATTTACAAGGTATGGATTTTATGTACTGAGATTCGATTCATACTCCATGTATGATGAATATCTCTGTTGCTTAAGTCGAAGTAAATGAGTGTGGTATGAATCTAAAATTCCTTTATCTATATAAATGAAGATCATTATAAACGGACACGGTTGTAAATGTATCTGATATGTATTTTCTTCTTACGTTTGATGATTGTGATTTGCACCACAACTCATCTGACATGACCAAGATACCGTAGTATTCAGCGATAGACAACGCAACCCGGAATGTGCTGAGAACCAAAGTATAATTTCGTTCCCGTTTTACTGAATAAGTAAGGAAAAAAATGCTAGCAGTAGTATTTCATTTGCGCTAGGCGCTGAAGCACCCAGCTCCCACCTATACTACATCCATCATGCCTCCTCACAAAGTCGGATTAGAGTCAAGATCAACAGGGTCTTCTTTCCCAGCTAATTCTGTGAGTGTTTGGCAACAACAAAAGAAAATAACACATATGGTTATAATAAAAAATATAAACGTGGATTCAGTTTACCTTATCATCATTTAAATCATTATTATCAGAATCTTGTATACCACAAAGTAACGGATTAACATTCACCGGTAAACTTGCACTAATATTGTGTGAATTAATGTACTGTTGACTTGGGATCGATCCAAAAGTCATTCCTGAACGACTAGATAGCTGTAATTGATGCTGGACAGTTAAATGATGCTGAGGAGATAACGAAGATGAAGGATGCTGAGATTGTGATATAGGTTTAGATTGGAATTGTGAACAACATAACTGTGACTGACTGCCGGGCTGGAAAATACGTGGTTGAGGAGATTGATTTGGTTGAAAAATACGTTGATTTCTCATTTTATTAGTCTGCTGTTGTTGATATTCAGGGGCGTGAAGTCGTACACAAGGCATATTTACATCACTAGATGAACTATTAACCCCTGTTGTAGACACGGTCAACGATGTACACCTTGCACGTATTAATCTTAAAGGTGAGTCTATGACAGTTCCACCGCCCACAGTAGGTCGGGTGGAGAAATTCGTGTTAGAAACAGGCGAATTTATTCTCGGAAAACTGCTTAATGGATTACTACGTACCGGAGCAGATCCAACAATCGGTGAAGTCATAGAATCTAAACGAGGAAAAAGTATAAAATATAAAATAATTATTATCTAAAAAATAAAATATGTCATTTAGCATTTGGAAGCTGAAAAGTTTCTAATTATAAGAGGGAGAGTAACAACTAAGTCAAACCTTAACTGGGAAGAATCAATTTTCAAGCTACAGTTTAAGAACGGATCTGTTTATAATTTTGGCCTTAAGAGCAGACATTTATTATTGGTTTATAAATTCGAATTGCATTTCAGATTTCGACGTTAGAATATTCATAAACAGAGTCGTCCAAATACAAGAATAGTTGTTATCAGTGAATATTTAGAAAGTGGGATGACATACACATAAAGATTTTCCCGCATCACTGTTTTAAGTCGATTTATATTATTAGCTCACAGATTGGGACCTTAAATACACCTCAAATTGTGAATATAATATAGTTTAACATGGTCGAAATCATAATTATTCAAACTAGTTTAATCATGTTTAAAAACAATAGACTATTAATAACATTGACTTACTTGTTGTAGTAAGGATTGGAAATCATGTATAAAATTAAGAGTAGGAAAGTATCGTTGTTTCGGTATTTTCACTGAAGTTGGTGTCAACATGAACTTAATAGTCAGTAGATCATTTATCAGTGATTCAGTGAGACCACAAAAGCTAAAACGTTTATTTGTGATTCTACCATAACAAGTTTGTACGAAATATGCCAAATTGAAGCTTTAACTATCAAGGCTCAAGAGACAATATACAATACAACTGGTCAAGGCGACTTCCTAATCTTTTTACACTAGTTAGGTATTTTCTCATATTTTTTTCAGATAAGTTAGAAATGAAAGTCTTTAAAACTAAAACACGTACACGTTTGTAAACTCAATAATAAATTCGCAGATCAGATCTAGGTTTCAGTAGCGGTAACCAAATATTAAGCGATTATCCCTCAAATAATAAACGTTTTGATTAGACTTACTACCAAATTTTATGGTCACAAACAAACACCAAGTTGGTATGAGAGTACATGATAAACTTGAAATTCCAACCTAAGCGTATGTTTCGAATATATCGCAACAAGATAACAAAAAATATTTCTGTTCATTTGATAATAAATTCCAGTAGCCTTAAGGGAACAAAAATAAATTCAACTAACATACCAAAACGTACGATTTTGGACACATGTCTAAAGACAGAGTATGCAATTAAAGCAAATGACTAAGACAAAGGAATTAAATACTTTCACAGTGTCAATATTCTCTGAAATGTAAGGAAAAACGTTTTAATGGAACAATTAGGTAAGTACGCGAAAAAAAGTTGGTTGCAACACGTTCAGGTCTATGTTTAATCAAGCCAGTCACCGATTTTAGTTGAAACATTAAAATTTGATAAAAACTGACGAAAGTTTACACGTTGAATAACACAGAAAATATTTTATTTATTTATCTGAACACATAAATATTGGTACAAGGAGGCACCAAATATATATGCGCCACATAAAATTTTATTTGTGTGTGGGCTGTGATACTTCCCGGGTGCTCAAACCGAAGCAGGTGGTTTTCTCAGGCGGCCACACCCCGAGCCTTTGACCTAAAGGTCTGACCCACAAGGCAGTGGAGCATCGTAAGGAAATGCAGTCCCATGGTCGCCATTTGTTCATTCAGGATACTGGAGCCCATGTGCACCATTGGATTGAGATCCAGTTAAAGCGCCGGACATTCGCTTTTCGTCCTCTCATTTTCGTAAACAACACTCCCGCCACGAGAAGGCAGTGAGTAGGACTTCCCTGGCAGAGGCTGTATACGCGTGGCCGTGTGAGAGTATTTCGAGAGGGAGGGTCGGCCCACCTCGCTCTCGGCCATACCAGGGCATTTGGAGGCCTGACCTAATGTAAGATCAATACGTCAAAGTCGGAGATTTACGTTTCACTGAACGTACAAGCCTTTTGTGAGAAAAGTCGAACTATAGAGTGACTAGCATATTATATATATATATATATATATATATATATATATATATATATATATATATATATATGGAGAGAGGAGACCCATTACTATACGATAGAGTGATCTAAATGAAAAACAAATAAGCAAAACTTAAAGGCATATACATACAAATGACTTGGGTATTCATTTCATTCTATTAATATAACCAGACATGAATTGATGTAGAATGGTTAAGTATATTGCCTACTGTGTTATTAAGTCATTACAATATGAAATTAAGAGTATTTGACGAAGTTACAGCTAAATTTAATTGGTTAGAAGTAGATTGACGATTACGCGATTGTTATCATAATTAAAGAATTAGGAAAGCAATGAGTTGCATCATTAAGCAAAATAAATAAGGTTTAACCAAGAAAATCTTTCAAACATTTCATTAAATAAAATTGTGCACTCATATTTATAGTTATTTCATAAACAGAAATTTAATAGTTGAATTCATGAGTCAATTGAATCTAGACTACCATGGAAAACCTGGAAGCATCGGCCGACCGTTTCGTCGTAGTATGAGACTTCTCAGCACGATCCCACCTGGCAAGATTCGAAACGAGGACCTATCAGTTCCGGTCTAGTCCACTGAGCCGGCATCTATCGGTGTTAATGTTTAAGTTCAATCAATCCACGAAATTGCACCACCAATGTCTTCAGTAAGTTACTATTTCACAGCAGACCTGGTTGAACTCCATTGGTCACTGCTTCTCACTAGAAATCTAGGAAATACCTCTTGGAGACAGTCACCAGTAAACATATGATTTTAATCAGAGAGGGGTTTTGTGGATATTATGGTAATTTAATAGTTGAATTTATGAGTCAATTGAAACTAGGCCATCATAGAAATTTGTTGCGTCATTAAAAAGGGAACCAGGGTTCAATCGAAAACTATTTTCCATTTTATCACAAATCATAATGTGTAAAATAATTGTATAAATAAAATTGTACAACTTTAGTAAATAGAATTGTTTAAAAAGAAACTTTTTTGTTGAACCGCCAATATTATTGTCGTTATTATCATTGATATTATAATGACATAATTGTCGACAGAAATTCCTTTCAAAATAAACAAACTCATTGAACAGAGATAAGAATTCACAATAAATATTTATGCGTACATAGATGAAAAACCAAGCACTACAGTGGACTACTACGACGACGACGCCCGGCTGAGTTAGATTATGAATAAGACATGTAGTGTATCGCTTAATAAATACATCATATAACAAGTAAGTGATATTAAAGTAAAACCTTCAAGAGAGAAAAAGAATAGCATAAAGAAAACAAATAATGACAATCAACACAACTACACGGTAAGATGAACATAGTTATTTTTTTTGAAAAAGAATTTCTAGTTCACTTGCCAACTAGACAGAAATTAACCTAGAAATAGGACACTTATTGGTTTATTGTGTTTTCATTTCATTCCTTCAGGTCCAATAGTTAAAGTACATCGATTGATAACTTTATTGAGGAAGATTGGTACGAAGTGAAAAACAACAATGTAATAATAAAAATATGAGCAATAGATTAAAAGTAAAAGTGATTGGTGTCATTCAGACTAATATAACACGTTGAAAATGTTGTACAGCGATCATCATATTGAATAATTAAAAAAGGAAACAAAAGAATGAATGAGGTGTGACGAGTTTCAAGCATATTTATCATTAAAAGCCGGTTCTCTACACATCAGTTTACTACTAAATGCTTTTATAATAATAATAATAATAATAATAATAATAATAATAATAATAATAACCCCCAATATAGCTTGGATTGTTATTCGAGTCGATTAGACAATATTAAACAATGTTAAATTATAAGTTCTGTGAAAAGTTATGCGAGTTTGTATTACTTTTCTTCTGTAACCTGTGTACAAAAAACTCAGTGTATAGATTGAAAATTGAATAGTATTTTAAGCGAAACGACAAGTCGGACAGAAGACATATTGTGCATTAATGTGAAGGCTTTTCTGATTGAATAGAGACTGGGTTGTTGATTTGCGAAAAGACGTTACCTAAGTTAGCACAACAAATGATGTCCATTATAGAATTTCTACTGTTAAAATCGCCCCCAAATGCCCTGGTATGGCCGAGAGCGAGGTGGGCCCGCCCTCCCTCTCGAAATACTCTCACACGGCCACGCGTATACAGCCTTTAGGTCAAAGGCTCGGGGTGTGGCCGCCTGAGAAAACCACCTGCTTCGGTTTGGGCACCCGGGAAGTATCACAGCCCACACACAAATAAAATTTTATGTGGCGCATATATATTTGGTGCCTCCTTGTACCAATATTTATGTGTTCAGATAAATAAATAATAAAACTGTTAAAATCTCTATCCTACTTTATCATAATTGTATTATTAAACAAAATCCCGTTAGCCCATAGTTATTTTGATTAATTCGCAGTATACAGATGATGTGAAAAATGTAGGTTATTTGATAGTTATAGGCGAGAATCTAAAACTATATATTTATTGGAAGAATTTTACATGAAGCTCACAAGAATTAAGGGTAATAAATGCATATTAATTTTACATTCTACATAATCAATTATTTTATAAAAATAACTTCAAATTACATTCAGTTTTCTATTTGGTATTTTGAATAGAAGTGTGCTACCTTATTAGAAAAAAGTAATATTCTGCTACTTTTTGTGTTACTTTCAACCAACACTGGCCGGATACCATCAGCAACAACCTACTGTGGGAGAGAAAAAACCAGTTTCCAGGTGAAGAGGAAATTAAGAAACGGCTGTGTCACCTACAATTGTAGTCAATACCAAAGCAAATCATTTTAAAACGAACTGCTAGTTATTTTTCATTCGTTCCCCCTTCTTAGTACGAACACTTCGTGGTTTATTACATTTAGTCGGTTAATATATATATCAGTGGCAGTATTACGCTATAGTATTATATCGACTTTTAGGGCGCATCCTTGTATCGATTTCAATGAAACATGGGGAGGTTTGTATGATCCATTATTGGACTGTTTTTAATTGTTCACCATGGCTGAGGTCATCCACGTCGAAAAACAAATTATTCTCACAGGGAACATCTCTTCTCTTCATAAGACATCTTACTGTACTATTAACCTTTTTTTCTTGAATTACTTTTTCCTATAAATATTGGTCTAGAATTGTCCCAAATACTATTGTGGTGTGTGCTACTGATGTCGATAGATATAAGTAGTATCACCAATCGAAAGTGAGATGTCTGGCAGCAGAAGGTTAGGAAAATCGAAAGAGAGAGAACGAGAACAGAGAATGGTTGGTGTGGAAAAGAAAGAACAAGTCTGAGACAAATGATTGACATTTTGCAAATAAAGTAATTACTATATGATTCTCAGATTTGACTAAGACGTCCTGTAATTTGCATTCAAATACATTTGGTTGTCCCCACTTATATTCTTATTCACTACACCATGACATAAGTGAAGCATATTCGGGATCTCAGTGAACTGAAAAATTCATTTCGAACTACTGCATCCCAGTGAAACAATATACACCATTCGAAATTTAACTAATTAAATTACATAAACGTATCAACTATTTATCTGAACCAGTTACGTAATTATAAACATAAGTAAACCTAAATTTTTTATGCAGCTTGATACACGAGCAGAATTCATAATATTTATTAATGAAATGATACAGGGTGAGATTCCAACATTCTTAGGATAATAATAATAATATCTTACTTGTGAAAACAACTTTTGCATCACTATTAATCATTTCATCTGTACCAACAGAAGATAGGCCGGGAGATGAACCGCCAGCTGTCGTGGATGGTGGAAATGAGGATCTTGTGATTGGTGAGTTAGTTGTACAAATCGGTACTGAATTTAGTAAATTGTTTTCATGCAATATACTCCATTCTTGATACAGATTTTGATAATCCGGATTATTTCGATTTGCATGTGAAGTTTGCATAGATGCTACATTTGTAACTGATTCTAATTCCTTAAAGGTGAAAAAGTGATTGTTTCAATACAAGATAATTAGAGGTTTGTAGGTGAATAAAAAGGACTGTTATCTAGTTATAACAGAAAACACCACATCTACAGAATTTAATTTAAAGCGAAAAACTGGCTATCCTGGTGCTTGCTCTTTTGTCAACAGAGTTCACTTACAGCAAGTCTTCACTTTTACACGTCCCGGAAGAAGCATAGTTATAGTCATTCTAAAAAACGTATGTCGACTATGAGCGCAGTATGACTATTTGCAATAATCAGAGTTTAGTTACGGGTGCAACTCTATTTGTATCCTTTTCTCGATCTTGAATTTAATAATAAATGATTTACTGAATTACCAGTATTGTTTAGATTTGTATAAAACTACTTAATTATAATTAACTTAATTCAAATGGTCATTTAGTTATGAAACTTCTGACGACAATACTTAATTAAATACAAAGACGTTACATGAAACAATGAGGTATCATGTGTTGTTTACCCATAGCGGTTAAAACTAGAAGTTTAACATTCAGGAGCGGTGGCCTGGTGGTTAACGTATTTGCCTTTTAATTAGCAAGTTGCATGTTTAAATTTCACCCAATCCACTCCGGTTTAAGTGCAGTTACACAACAAAAGTGCGGGTTTCATTTGAATATGAAAATTCGCACTTATTGCATAAGTAAGTCAGGAATGTAGACAGAAAAAAAATAGTTAGGTTATAAGCAACGAAAGGTCAATTCAAAAAACGTAGCTCATCTAAATTCTGTTATGATTCGAACCACCCACTGGTATAGCCCATTCAAACTCTGTCATTGTAAATTTTAATTTACTCATTCCCCTCGTTCTTAATTAACCATTAAAATCCATACATTACACGAAAGACTCCAAATGTAGGACATTATTTAATTCACAACATAAAAAACTAATGCATAGAGTTACACGTTATTTTTTCATTGTTCAATCAACAAAATAACGTTTACTGTATAGTTTGCTTTACACTCAAATACGTGTGATAAAAAAAAGTAATGGTAATTTATAAATATTTCTTCAGTATATACGTTGAGCTCAACAACCGTCATAGCATAAATGAAAACCAACTTCGACTTACAATCATCAAGTCCTAAGTCTCAACCCTTCCCCACCTACATCAGTTTGGGCAACTGGGTAGTATTACTGACCCTCTACTAAAACTAGAGTGTAGCTCATACCCAAGTAGCTGAAAATGAGTTAGTTTATTTAATCATTATTTGACGTTAACAGTGGTAGTAATAATAATAATAACAAAATAAATCATCAAACTAAAAACAAAGAAGAATATTCGAAAAACGAAACTACAAGGAGAAGACAAAGATATCAGAAGAGACAGCAAACAAAGAACAGTGCGTAAATAGGATAAAATGTATACAGCCTAAAATTTAATAATCAATATAATTTACAACACTATGTAACAACATCATTATCGCAAGAAAATGATATATATATATATATACCATAAAAAAATTAGGGTGTGTGAAATTAATGAATCGGTTATGAATTCTGCATGTAAATGTTTATAATATCTGTCCATTGCTAGTTACTCATGCTGATAATTCGAATTACATTAGACAAAGAAGCAGACAATCAGATAAGGTATTAAGATTAATATAATTCTATCAACTAAAAATCATAAGTCTAAAAATCATAAGCCTATGGCGAACTGTCATCTGCTTTTGCAACCTCAAGTGGCGTCCGTCAAGGCTGTCCACTTTCTCCTTTTTTGTTTAACTTTATCATAGACATCCTGATGGAAATAACGCTCTCATCGACTGACTTCTCGGGTATTGATCTCCTACCAGGAGGTCCACTTATTGACTTGGAATACGCAGATGACATAGTCCTGTTTGGTGAAGACGCTGACGAAATGCAGAGTCTTTTGTTAGCACTGAGCAACAATGCCCGATTGTTTGGGATGCGCTTTTCTCCCTCTAAATGCAAGTTGTTGCTTCAGGACTGGTCTGCATCAACACCTGAACTAAGGATAGGGGGTGAAGTAGTCGAACGCGTTGATAACTTCACTTATCTTGGAAGTCTGATCAGCCCTAATGGGTTGGTGTCTGACGAAATCTCGGCACGGATTCGAAAAGCTCGCTTGGCCTTTTCCAACTTACATCATCTATGGCGAAGGCGAGATATTCGTCTATCAATTAAGGGACGAGTATACTGCGCGGCAGTTCGTTCCGTCCTTCTATACGGCTGCGAAACATGGCCTTTAAGAGTGGAAGATATTCGTAAGTTACTAGTATTTGACCACAGGTGCCTTAGAAATATTGCGGGTATCTGCTGGGATCACTGGGTAAGTAATAGTGAGGTTAGACGCAGGGTATTAGGGAATGATGGTAAATCAGTTGATGAGGTTATGAATCTTCATCGACTGAGATGGTTGGGCCACGTGTTGCGTATGCCTGAACACCGATTACCACGACGCGCAATGCTGACTAGTGCAGGGGATAATTGGAAGAAAGTTAGGGGCGGCCAAACCAAAACGTGGCATCAATGCTTGAAGTCACTAACTTCTGGTCTGAGTCATGTTGGGAGATTCAGACTGCCTGGTTGGGGTCCGCGTGACTATCGTAACCAATGGTTGGAGACTCTTGGTGACATGGCTCAGAATCGATCACAATGGCGTCGGTGTATACACTCTCTGTCTTCCTTAAATTAAGAGATTAAAATCGCTTCATATCTGTCTAGGAACTAATTCTTTCTTCCTGTACTATCTCCATATACACAATCTTTCTTCTATATATTACCACCACTGAATTAACTACTCCTATGAATCCGGTGTTCATCTTGTTGTGCTAATGCGGTATGGCAACTTGGACCGATGCATATACGTGCCTGGTCCTACGTTGCAGCTGACTGACTGACTGACTGATAAGTAGTATTCGGATTTCATTTTGCTAATCAAATATCAGTAATTTAACGTTCGCAGTTGAGCTAGTACTGATATTGTCATCAGAAAATTTCAACTAATTTGTTAATAACACCTTATGTAAAGGAAGATGGTGAACTGGTTACTTGATTTCAGTTTGTTCGCATTAAAATCATGTTTATTGGTAGGTTATAATTTTGTTGGCCGTTACTGGCGATCGACGTGTTGCAGAGTGAGGAAACAAACGCAAAGAAAAATTTTCGTTAACTAATGTTGTGATCCAGTGATCGTATAGCTCATTGTTGTGGTATCAGGTTGCATTTGGGTTCTCTATGAATACAATCTATCGCGATAACGATCGCTTTTAATCACGTTCAGTTTCGGAAAACACTGGATATTTTATTAGTGGCTTTATTCAATATTATAATTTAGGTACAATATAGAATTTTCAGCATAAATTATTTCAACAGGTTTCCTTATTTTTATTTCTTGATAGATCCTTGTGATAAATGTTGAGTGGTCGCCAATTAAATGTTAGCAGTTCATGACCCAACATCTGAATAATGTATATTCTTTTCGATACATATATTCAGCAACTACGATGTCTCTGATTGGGCTCTTTCGTAACTTGTTCAGCGAAATGTCGTAAACGTTTCACAAACGCACCTGAATAGGTCATGAGACTAATAGGCATAATGATGTGCTAAAACAAACGAGCAAAAAGATAACTCGTTGAAATATCCAGATAGTAGGGACAATTAGCCCAGATATTCAGGCAGGTCGCCTCTATCATATAAAATAATTCGATTATTTTCCTTCAACTATCGCAAGCGTAAATCAAAAGATCTGACGTCTAACATTTAGCCAAATGACTATATATAGAACTAAGGATTATTAGACTTATATATGAATTGTTGTAAAAGGATAAGCAGCCACCATTGTTTATCACTAAACAGAGATTAGAAACAAGCTATTGAATTCATTCAAATTTCCCTAGTGTATTCAGAAATACAATTTGTACTTACATTAAATATACCCTCGTAATATTGATTCACATTTGGTGTTAATAAAGCTTTTCATTGTTTCTTTGTTTTACAATTGCTATCATTTATTTATTTTGACCTGTTTATCTTACAGATTAATATCTTTATAGGTTAACATGTGATTACATCATTGTTCGATGTGTACTGTCTTGATACAACACAGTTCTAATTAATTTTGTCTTCTCATTACACCACCTAAATTAATCAGAGACCTGTTTTACACAATAAGAGGGCACATCAACTTTGTGGTGCAGGCATATCCAACCGACGAGCCCCAAACAGGACGAAACGGGAGTCCTAGATTCCGCTGTTAGCCACATTCCATCTTTTCTTTATTAACAAAAACATATCAACGAAAAGTGATTGGCGAAATAAAAATACCTTATTTTATTATTGAAAAATAACTGTTTAATGAAGAAAGCGAAGATGTTAGCTAAACAAACTACTTTAACGCTTACCTGAATACGTTTGACCAATTGTCCGATAACTTTTGCAGCTAAACTAGTTTCTCGTCGAACTTCCGGTATTTGTGCCAATTCCGAACGTAATAAACAAATAAATTCCACTGAATTCTTCAATATATTTCCTTTGTTCTTTTTACCATCACTTTAAATGAAAGAGAACAAACACATACATGTATATATGCGTACACAGATGATGCCAATTCATACAGATGACAAATATAGAGATTATATGATACTCCTGCATTCTAGTGATTTTCTGTAAGAGATGACTACCCGGTAGCACACACAATCACCTCATAAAATTTCAACTTAGTGCACTCAGATCAGTGAAAACTTCGTCAATAGAAGGACAGGACACCCATAAATGACATTGGTCATTGCTCCTCAGACATCAATCAATTGTAGATAAAAGTTTATGGCCAAAAAACATTCAAAAGAATTTATTAAGAGGGATACGGTATGATTATGTTGAAGCTATTAAACGATAAAAGTTTGATTCTTACCAAACAAAGAAATACATAAAAAATATTTAATTAGTTTTAACGTTTAAATAGGAACATTGGTTTGAGCGACAAACTTCTAGGAAATACTGATGACTGTTTGTATAATGGAAAGTGCAACATTTTATCAACCTGCTATTATATATAATGAGGTCTATATACATATTATGCGAAGACCGAGGATGATATTCACATTCAATTACATTGCAATCCGTGACTTAATAGTTTAGGGTTGATGCATTTATGGATCACTTTGGATTGCCTAGGTTGAATCAGACACTGGTTACTTTTGTAGTCTCGTCTACTTAAAAAGAGGGACAGTTTAATTTAGCCAAATGATATTCGTGTATAGCCATTGACTAATAGTTTGAGCAGTACGGTAGCTAAACTATGATTTGAGATCATTTACAAATGTGGGAAAACTGAAGAGAGGTCAGAATCTGGCGGAATAAATCTTAAAATTGTTTAAAAAAAATATGACATGTGTTCTTAAATAATTTTAAAACAAATGAGTACCTCTCAGATTTTGCATTTATCGTTGATATTCTTGAAATACTAGATGAAATCAATAAGAGCAGGATAAGGATATTTCTGCACCTGAATTGTATGCAGAAGTAAGAATATTATCTGAAATCAAACTTAATTGATTTTCTAGATAATATAAGAAACTTAACTACGCTTAATCTGAGACCTTGTTGAAATCTATTTAGGTGTATTTCCTACGCTTAAGTGTTCATAAAATTTTGAAGGTCCTAAAGTGTTCAAACAGTAGTTTAATTTACCGACTGGGTAATTTTCTTTTGATGTTAAGATAGCTAAACACAACATTCATATGGAAGTAGGGGATCCTCAGGTTGACACGAGGTCACATAGACGTTTCAAACATAGAACCCTGATGGAATTGTATTCGTTATTGATAGAGGATATTTTTCATAATCCGAAAACCTTTTGGAGTAAAATGCCCATTTCGAGGCCTAATTAAATTTGTGGACTAGAGTTGCTATGTGTGAACTTTAATGATTAGAAATGAAGATTTAAACTAATGAATACATATTTATTGGCATTATAACAGGCAAAATGATTTGGGATTACAACAATTTAATAGATGTATCTTACTGATGATAAAGCGACATTCATAGCGCTAATAATTGCATAAGTGTTAATTTTGCTAAAAGAAAATAATCTCAATATACGTTTTTCTAGAATTTTGTGTGTGAGGCCTGACAGAGTATCTAGGGTTCATACACAGCTCCTTTAAAGTTTCCCCACTATTTCATATACCATAACGTTTACTTATTTTTTATCACGTTATCAACCATATATGCGATACACTATGTTAAAATTACTTTCTTGCTTCACTTCAATAATTACTTCTAGTTAGTTTTCTAGTCCGTGTATTCCGTTTACAGTGTCTATCTTGATTTTGTTTTTGAAGATTTTATAGGTCATTCAATGCGTTCTGTTTTCGATTCCAATTTTATCAATATTAAGAGTAAAATAATGAAAATAAGTTAGAATAGGATTTTGCACAACTTAAAACGTTGGTAAATCTAACAAATTTGTGTAACGAAGTATAATAATAAGTAATCTGAAATAATACAAGAAATAAGTATGAGTGAAACTTGTTTTGTAAAAAGAAACGCCGAAATCCCATACCCATCTCTGAACATATCTTCAGGTAATAAACTTCCAAGTTCAGCAATTTGGCAGTTAATATAATCTCGTCGCTTACGTTCAACTAAGGGATAGAGAGTGAGAGAAAAAATATAGTCTTTTAGGTTGAATTTAAAACATTCAAATCTATATAAAAGAGAAGTGTTGCGAAAATGATGTTCTTGAAAAGTAAAACAATTTCATGTCAGATTATTTCTGTCGACTTATAAGTCGATGTTAAAACCACTTAGACATTCATTTTGATTATTCCAGTGTAATAGTTTAAACGAATGATCGATTACTTTACCGAAAAAATCGTAAACTCGATAAATCACATTTTCATATCGGGAAAAGCAACAACCAATGAGAAAATGGGAACAAAAACAAGTATTACTTACTTCGATTATGACTATCTTTTTTCGATCGATCTCTCATCCAAGCTACCCGTTGATCATCTATATTTCGACCACTAGTTGGTGAAGATATATTCCCAATACTAAGAGGGCCATGACTTACCGGAAGACTAGTAGCTTCCGGTGTACTATTTAAACCACCCAATGGACTACTACCGCTTTCACTTAAAACCGATTGAGCAGCTCTTGATCCTGACTGTAATGGACTAGTATTATTATCCGTTGTACATAAATCATCTGGTACAGTAGCTGGACATGATGACGATACTGTCATACCAGTGTCATCTCGATTGACTTTAGTACTTTCTTTCAAAAAAAAAGGATTCGTATCTATAGGACTGATTTGTACCAAGGAATCCAGCTTATTCCCTGTTTTTAGCGTCGTTTTTGCTGTTGCTGACGATTTTGATGTAGAAAGTTGTAAACGTTCGGAAGAATCCGGTGTGTGATGTGGAAAATCAATGGTGGAATCAGAAACACCAACCTTTGTGAAACAAGCAGTTAACAAAAAGAAAAATATGAAGATTTCATCACCAACTATGGAAAGCATCCAATAGCAAAAACCTCATATACATAAAAAGACGGATTAAATCATTGGGATAAGCCAACAACAGTTTTGTACCGCATTAATATAACTGACAAAACTGTCATTTTAAACGTCCAACTATCAATAATATAACGCTGAAGCTTAATAAAATCAAACATTTCAGATTTGGCTTTTAATTAGAAAGCAACAATTTCAGCTGCATAAACGAAAAATTGACACCATTTTTCTAAAGGATAAATGATTTTTTACGTATACTTGTATGATTTAGTTGAAATATTGCATTGTTTACCACTGTGGACAAACGTACACCCAATTGCACTCACACACAACTAACTGTTAATATATTCTAGAAGCTTCAAAGAAAAGCTTTGTGTGATTACTGATTTTCTGAGCGACTAGACGGAGAAAACGCTTCTTTCGCAAAAAAAAAATTAGAACAATGAAATAGTTCAATCCTGCATTCAAATATACGGTTAGGTTAAACAAATATACATTAAAATTAATAATTTAGCTGAAAAATTTTATAAAATGAATGACTGTATTACAAAAACAAAGTTTTTTTCTTGCTTTTATGACCCAACTCAATGCTACTTTGCAATAGTAAGTCAAACATACATCATTTGTAAAATAAATCCATATCTATCACTAATACAACTAATTCATTACAATGCACGTTTAAGCATACCTAAACGGAGACAGAAAAACGTGCAGTTTTTTTTATTAAGAATAAGTTCAACCGCGCACCATTTATCTGATAAGTATATAATTAAAAAGACACCTACTAATAAAAACTAAATTTTGATCACAGCTAGCAATTGACTAATCAGATAAGAGCTATGATTATAAGCATTAATTCGTTAAGTTATTTGAAGCACATTAAACTTATTATGTTGAACAATGTTTTTTTTTTATTTACATAACACTGTATACGTACACGCAGATAGATACAATGATTGTAACAGTTGTTCACTGTCCACAACAGTCAGTGAAACCAACTAACGTTAACAGCAAGTAGCACCTGCGCAGCCATTTCCGCTATACATATGATAGGTGTTTCTTCTTTTTGGAAGATCTGGATAAAAATAACTTCAACCTTATGGTTTTGAGAACAATATTATTCTGAGTGTATATCGACAGGAAGGAGTAGAGCACAACTATCATGATAGATTAATAATTATTGTGTGATTTTCATTCATTTTTAATTCTCAAAGTTTTTTATTGTTATAACGATTAACAAGTAATCGATGTTTCGTAGAACTTTTACTGAATATGAACGTACAGAAACAGTAATTAATATTTCCCTGGTATATAATCATGTATTCAGTCAGTTAACGAAAGATTATGTTTGTTGCAATCTTTAAATAGAAAGGGCATTAGATCCATCGGTAAATATCAGTTTATTCGTTCTTAATTAGTTCAGAAGTTTATTATGATCACTAGAATTGTGATAACAAATACAAGACATAAAATATCAATATTTATTTCAGTTTGAGATTGTTGAATAGAACGCACCTATCACACACCTTGATAGTGACAGATTTGTGTTTTAAAGCAAACATCATAGTTAGTTAAACTAATAGTTTAAAATAGGATAGGATATTAAATAATTTAAAACATAATCGAATCGTGATTCTTTAATATATTTATTATGTATGTCAATTCCGATTAATATTATGCTACACAGATTTAGGATAGAGGATTAACTACTAAGGGTAATAAACAAATCATACGGAAATATTACCTTCATGAAAATAAGCATTTATAAGGTTGGACGATGGATGTTATAAAATAATCGTGTTACAGTATAAAGTCATTTAAAGTTTACGGTTCTTTTTTAATTTGGTCCGTCGCTAATTCACTTCAACTAGAGAAATATCGAAAGCCATGGAGCATCAAGAATAGTTGTTTTGTCCCATTTTAGGACCACTTCGTAGTGTACAACCATGGACAATCCCTGTGATTGGACCCAGGGACTTCTAGGTTCCCGACGACTGCCTCATTCTTAAGCAACTGATTTGGAATCTAATAAGAATCATAATCCCAACTTCCCTTGATTCGTGATACGGCACGATCAGCAGTCAATGTCCTTGGCGATAACAATGAGGAGTTTCTTCAAAATGAACTAATACTAACTAAAGCACCCAACTAAAATTAATCGAACAAGTAAACAATAAGATAACAAAACGATACAAGCATCAAAGTTAATTTTGCATCTATTCACTATCGTCTATCGACAACATACAAAACATTCTGTCAAGAGTAAGTTTCTACAGACTACAAATAAATTATACTAACTTGAGAAATATTTTCAATAAGATTAACGAATAGATGAGTATGATGTCTACATTCCCATACTTCCGAGAACCCTTCCAGATGTCATGAGGACAATTATATATACGTATATGTATCACCACTGGCGTTGATTTACAAGAAAAGATTGAAAGCTATGCATCTAAAAGTTGTGTGAAGAAATATTGTTGTGAAATTTATCACATCATAAGGTCGCCAATCAGAACACGGCTTATACAATCTTAACACTGCGCCAAACCAATGACGTGTTGACCGGTACAAGCAGCTTATTAGTCCCGGTAGTCTAGCCCTGTCTGTTAAGTCCAGAACGCCAATATCTGCCTCCACTATATGAATAATATATTTCAGACTTCTTTGGTTTACAAGCAAACCAGACCACATTATATCATAAAATAAAAAACAATTGAACATGATCAAGACAAAAAGTGTTTCTGATTGTGAGAGACTGTAACTAATAAATTGGGAATAACCTAAAAATAGAAAATCATACAATAGTAGTCAGTAGATCAGATAAAAGCTTATGACAAAAGGAATATATATATATATATATATATATATATATATATATATATATATATATATATATATATAAAGGAAGACTATGCTCCATGAAGTTTCCGAGGGAAAATATAAGGATTTTTTGGTCACGAAAAAGACATATAGTTAGTGAAAAATAACCCAAAGACAGCTAATAGTTTAGTTTGATGGACCATGAAACTTATTTCGTAACGAGATTAAGCTACATTTTTGATTAGTTGGCTTTATTCTATCTTTCAAATATTAGTTGAATAAGTTTTACTCAGTTTAAAATGTTACAATTAAAATTATATAAAAACTAATCACTAATTAATAACAAACATAAAAGTATGTATAATCATAAGTAAACTTGAGTAGTTTTAAAAAAAAAACAAGCAGAATAGTGCTTTAATCAATGTGATTATCATTCATGAACTACACCCAAAGTTCTTTCAACAATTCTATATAAAGATTAAGAGATGATTCAGTCGGCCAATTATAAGCAACATAGAACCTGGTTCAAGTTGTCACACCAAATCAACATAGTGCGGAGAAATTATTGAAACAAATGATAGGATAGTAGAAGTAGTAACACTATCAGTAATAGTAGGAACGATTAGTCATAGACAGTATGATTTGAGAATTAATCCACTAAATAGAGTTTGAAATAATAATGGAATTCAGGACATAAAAGCGAATAAAAAGTGGAAAATATTCGACCAAGACACTAATGACTATGAGTTGTTGATCACACAATAATTAATTAAAGGAGTAAAAGAAAAACAAAAGTGAGACTAAACATTTGATCATTGCATTAATGAAACCAGATCCATTCTATAAAAAAATGTAAATGAAACGAGGAAGTTATAAAATAGCCTGAATTCAAATACTTAAATGACGTGTGATTGTACATCGGAAACAGTCGATGGAAGCAAGCGAGAATAAATCAAGGGATACACCTTTGTGTTTATGATATTGATTTCTAGCTCTATGATACATAATTAGATATATGATTCATCGGTTTACATCGTTTTTAATAAGAAAACTCCGAGTAAACGACAGATCAACACATCAAAAATCTTTGGTAAATTCATGTGATGGAAATAGATTTTAGATGGTACAATGAAAACTAAGATTACCTTTATCATAATTCTTGTTTGCTTATTTTCTTACTTGCTTTTTGTAAACTTTAGAGTTTTATTTTATTTCTTTCTGTTGGCCATTATTCAGCTCTGCATAAAAAAGTTGTTGATTATTGTTGCCTTTTTTCAACTTAAAATGTGATACAATTTAAACCGATAATAAATTGTACCGAATAATATAAACTGTATTGTCTATTCAGTCATATGCAAGTATAACAAATAGGAAAAATTAACGAGGCCATAAGATTTTACCAGACAATTACGTCATTTAAGTAAACATAAATAAACTGTGATCTTTCGATTCGATTATATCTCTTTAAATTAGGATGCTTTACTTGTATCCAAGGTACAATTAGTAACAGTTTCTGAAAAAAGTAGTATGTTTAGCGTCTTTGTCTAGGAACTAATCAGTTTACACTTTGGTGATGGGGAACAGGACACTTATTAACCGTGGATAATTTATAGACTTTTTACTACTAATGATATTGTATGTAGACAGAATGTTCAGATAATCATGTAAAATAGTTTATATAGTTTATCATATAACAAGAGAAAATGTATACCTATCACTACATAATAAGAAAAATTATAAGAGTACACTAAATGTGGTTGTAGGATTTAATTTTATATAGATACATGAATCAAAGCTTAGTAGACCGTGGTGACGATTCAGAGACTATCTTTAAACTGTAACTAGAACACGTATAACGTACATTAAATGAACAGATACCTATAACTCAAATTACTTTTGTTTTTCAAACCTAGGAACTTAATATCATAAGTGAAAGTGACAACACATTATTTTGATATGACTGTCACATAAATACTCAGTAATCCATTCCAAGTTAAAACTAGTGTCAGACAAAACAGTCTACTCTCGCCTTTACTTGCTCTTGTGATTGTTGATTGACCTATGAGAAACGCCAAATCTGAGCAAAAACACGGAATATAGTCGAGGTCATGGACACGGTTGGATGACTTAAAGGTGCTATCGCATACACGGCAGCACATAAAGAAGTCAAAAAAGGTAACATTTATACAACTGGAATTCAAAAGGAATTACACCGGAAACAAGTCAGAATTGTCAGCGCTAACCTTAAAAGAGACCTATTGTACGTACATACTTACGCCGGTTACCCCTCATGGAGGAAGATAGACCATCCACCAGCCTTCTTCATCCAACTCTGTATTGGGCAATCCTTTCTAGTTGTTATCCATCCTTTTGATATCTGCTTCAAGTTCTCGACACAGTGTGTTTTTTGGTCTTCCTCTTTTCAGTTTCCCTTCAGTATTTCAAGCTAGGGCTAATCTCGTGATGCAGTTTGATGATTCGCGTAATGTATGTCCTATCCATTCCCATCATCATTCCTAACTTCCTCCTCAGCTGGAAGCTGGCTTGTCCTCTCCCACAGTAGGTTGTTGCTGGTGGTATCTGATGAACGGATATTGAGTATCTTACGTAGACAACTGTTTATAAATACTTGCACCTTCTTGATGATGGTTGTAGTAGTTCTGCAAGTTTTAGCCTTGTCTGACTCCGGTCAGACATCTGTCAGCAGTTCTGCATAAACCACTTTGCAGTGTACGAATTTCGGATGATGTTGACAACTTTCTTAGTTACACCATAGTGTCGAAGGTTTCATAAGGTTCTTATATCCATGCTGTCAAATGATATTGTATGGAGCTGAAAACTGGAAAATTACCAGAACCATTCAAAAGGTATGGGTATATGTAGATAACTTCCTATGCAAGATATTCCAGATTGTTTGGTCAGTGACCATCAACAATAACATAATCTGAGAGAGAAAAAATCATTTTCTACTTGAGAACATCAAGAGAAGCTGAGAGTTGATAGGACAGACGTTACGGAAAAAATATCACACTGCATCATAAGGCAAGCTTTAACTTAGAATCCTCAGGGCAAAAGGAATAGAAACAGACCACAGAATACATGGTGCTGGGAATTGGAATCAGACATTAAGACCATGAATACCGCTTGAAGACAGCTGAGAAAGAGAGCTCAGGACAGATTTTCTTGAAGATCTCGGGTCGATGGCACATGCCTCAAACGGAGTAACAAGCATAAGTAATTAATTACGCAAACCTTGTCACTATGTACCATCTAATATTATGCTTGGAGAATGAATTGAAGATAACTGACATGTTCGGAATATAAACCAATCAGTCCCATTTATAAATTTAGATAGAGCAAAGAGAAGACGGAGTTGATCTGAAAAATATGATTTATTTGCGTTATACATTTCGAACAATATGGTCACATATATACTTGTCAGGACATTTTATATGAGAAGAAACGTTTTTACATCGTTTAGAAAGAATAAGAAATTGTCGCGTTATCCTAGGCCATAAAATGACTTCAGGATTACCGGGGTAAATTCAAGGTTACGACAAATCGTTTTTGTATACATGAGGAGGGGGGGTAAATTTACGAATAGCCAAGGTTTTAATAAACCTGAGAATTCGTCCTTCACAATTTCTACACGTTTTAAAAGCTGTGTTAATGTCAATTTTGTGCTCCGTTTCAATCATATGTTTTGCTATCCATGAACATGGTTTTCTACTTCCCACGTTGATCGGATAATTTGACACTAATTGGTTATGAAGCCATCTAGGCACATGTTCAATGACTGCATTGTTCGATTACTCCCCCTATGCATGCGTCCACACAAACATGTAAATTGGTAAATACAATGGGATTTAACGTAATCATTTGTGTATTGTCTATGTCTATTTGGAATCATGGGCTTAGACTTTTTGATCACAATCAAATTAGCAGCATAATAGGTTTTCTCAATGGCTGCTTTCAATAACTGTCTTAAAACTATGCTATTGGATTCACCTCTATATGGTAGATAGATACAAACTTTTTTTCTTTGGAACCGAATAAACGAGAGGTCTTGGTGTTAACTGACTTTTGTACCTATTAATAAACATTATTGGATAACCATTTGACATAATGTGTCAGTCAGCAACTTTTCACCTTCTTCGACCATATAAGTAGTTCGAATTCTTTGAATCCTATTAGAGATACTTAATCAAGCCACACTTATATTACAATGGATGGAAATTATGGAAATTTAAATATTGCCCCATTCACGTTGGTTTCATATAAACTGACCGTCTCATAGTATCATCCTCCCTTCGACTCTAAAAAGGGCTACTGGTCATTATTTTTAGCTTTACAGGTCATTACGATATCGTTTTGAACTCCATTGAGTTCATCTAATAACTGGGAATCCTCAAAATCTTTATCACATACAACTAGTATATCATCCATGTATCTTCTATACAAAGTTGCCTCGCTAAAGAGCCTACTCGCCATATCTTCAACGTATGACATAAATACATCAGCTAAAAGAGGCCTCAAATAGTTATCCATAGCAACACAGTCGACTTGTCGAAAGTATTAGCCTTCAAACGTGAACTGAACATTCGCAGTACATAATAAAAGTAATTCTTTCAATAATGATGACCGAATGGGAAAAAGGGAGAAATTAGTAGATATATGATCACAAAGGAAATCCACAGTCTTAGTTAACGGTACATTCGTAATTTGACCTTTATTAATTTTCATATAAAATGTCCTGACAAGTATATGTGACCAGATTTTTCGAAATGTATAGCGCAAATACATCACACTATTCAGAACAACGTTCGAAATAGTAAATAAACATAGTCCCCTCAGGGGCAAGTTACAACACAATCGATTGATTAGAGTTAAAAGGCGAACAAAACCGATCCATAATAACTGTGATAATCATTGGCAAACTAGGGTTAATTGATTATGAATAAATCATGGAAGCTTAGTGTTAACGCAATTCAAAGAACAGGAGCCAAATACACTTCACCTGCATTTCATAAATAATCTTATAAAACTTTAATACTAAATTTATAATTGAATAAGCTTGTTGTTTACTAAAACATCTTACACGGAAAAAGTTACATGTGTTTAAAGATGAGGTAAATTATTAATTGTAAATTCCGAAATAATACTAGAGATAAGAAAAAGAGGGATACTGTCATGAGAGAGAAAAGCAGTACTAAGAAATATCAGTTATTATGATAAACGCGTTAGAAAATTCAGACGGACAACAACAAATATGTGTCAATCGAACTTACAGATGACGAAAGATTTATGGACGGTGTAATATTATTCAAATCAAAGCTATCACTTCCTTGATCTTCCATTATATTTGCAAAACAAGATTCAACTGGCTAAAATAACAAAGAGATGAAAAATGTCAGCATTTTCTATATACATATAAGATGGATGATGTTGGTTTTCTATAAAGAAGGATTTACAACATATCTTTAGGAAATGTTTTTATATGTGCAAAACGATGGCACGCAAAGGTATACTTTTAAAAATAACCAACAGGATCCAGTCGACGTGGAACTCTAAACAACACAGTAATTGTACTTACATTCACAGTAATGAATGTGGATTACTGCATTAAAGACCCATGGCTTTTTTCCTGTAGAAGGTTTAATTACACTTTTGTTGTGATATGATATGAGAACACTGTATACAGGGTCATCCCAAGGGTTGGTTATTAACTAATCAACAGCAAATATTCAGTTTTCAAATACAAAAAAGGATTCAACGAATTTCATTCAGTTACTACAGATTTTAGCGCATAACTATCTTAAAGTATCAAACAACTACGAGAAAAAACATTCTAATTAGGGATTTCTTGACTTAAATTTATTTTAATGTTTACATTTAACTAGTACATATGTCTAATCCTTAACATTGTTCACTTGAGCAGAATATTCATCAAACAACTCGAATTGGTTTTTTTATAAGGAATAGATTAATTTAAATATGATATTCATCAGGTTGAAAGTATAGATCAACGACTTGAAACAAGTACGTATTAAGCACTCTGGGACTCAAAAGCAATCAATCTAACAGTATTTTAAAATATATTCAGTTTATCGAAATCTAAAATTCTATATTCTCAATCTTAGGAAATTTACCCTGAAGCAAGTAATTAATTTATATGCAAAATTAAAACAAACTGACTAATTTATTAGAGAATTGTGGGATGACCCCTTTGAAATATTTATTTTCCGACGAACCAAACAATCAATTCTACTGTGAATTAGAGAAAAAAATAAATTTACTAAGGAAAGCCTTATTTAACAACTTTTCGGTGAATTACGAAAATAACTTGCACATAAATCCCCATTAATAATTCACCATAGAGTGAATTTAAGAAGTTCCAATGTTGATTGGAGATAACATGTAGCCAATATGCTATTTAAAGAGGTACATAGGATTCAGGAAACTTGACGATATTATTTATTTATTTTGACACATAAGTATAGGTACAGGGAGGCACCAAATACATATGCGCCACACAAATCTCAATTGATTTGTGTGAGGGCTGTGATACTGCTCGGGTGCCCAAACCAAAGCAGGTGGTTTTCTTAGGGGGCCACACCACGAGCCTTTGACCTGAACGTCTGACCCACAAGGCAGTGGAGCATCGTGAGGAGATGAAGTCCCATGGAAGCCGGTGACCAAAAGTTGGTTCATACGCCATTTGTTCCTTCAGGATACTGGAGCCCATGTGCACCATTGGTTTGGGGTCCGGTTAAAGCGCCAGACATTCGCTTTTCGTCCTCTCATTTTTGTAAACAACACCCCCTCCACGAGAAGGCAGTGAGTAGGACTTCCCTGGCAGAGGCTATATACGCATGGCCATGTGAGAGCATTTCGAGAGGGAGAGCGGACTCTCCCCACTCTCGGCCGTACCAAGTGGCTAAAGTAACTTGCAGATATTCGAAGGTTTTGGCTTTTCATCCTGGATACAGTTATGGACAAATACTAGTAACACAACTTGAAACATGATAAAATTGCGTTAAACACGACAATAGGCAGGAAGAATGTATATTTATTGAGAGAAGTTACAGAGTATTTAAATAATACATATACATGGTCTTCAATCGTCCATCTACATATTTCGGTGTGCTATGCAATCTGAGCTGTCTTCTCGACTGGCCTCTAGGTGTTCTGTCAAAAATATGCTTTCGATGCACTAAAACTTTTCACCCTATCCAACAATTGTTGCAAAACTTCAACGCCACGTCCCGTTACACACTACTTACAAACATCTCCGTGAGTAGAGTCCACTACAATAGTTGCTAAATCGTTTACCTACTACTATGATTATGTAATGGCTTGGCCTCCAAAGGGTGGGCCTGAGAAGTTTATTAACATCCTCAAAGCCCTATATACACACACCTCAGGCAGAGTGAGGGCATACAACCACCTTTCTCCATTATTCCATTCGAGCAGTGGGGTTAGGCAAGGTTGCCCAATCTCACCATTCCTCTTCAACTTTGCTACCGATGACATTCTGGAAACAGCTCTGATGGATGTAAGTAATGGTGGTGTGGATCTGTTGCCTGGAGAAAGACTTCTCGACCCTGAGTATGCGGATGATATTGTCTTACTGTGCGAGAATGCCCAAGCCATGCAATCCGCACTTAATCGATTGGCAATCAGTGTCCGTAGGTATGGTATGTGCTTTGCACCTTCGAAGTGCAAAGTACTTTTACAAGACTGACAGGATTCTAATCCTGTACTCACTCTGGATGGTGAGCAGATAGAAGTAGTCGAGAAGTTCGTGTATCTAGGTAGCTGCATAAGTGCTTGTGGTGGCGTGAGTGATGAGATCGATTCACGTATAGTGAAAGCCAAAGCGGCTTATGCAAATCTGGACCATCTTTTGCGCCCTCGTAATATTAGTCTTCTGCAAAAGGTCGGATTTACAACGCGTCGGTGAGAGCAGTTTTGCTCTATGCTTGTGAAACCTGGGCTCTCCGAGTTGAGGATGTTAGACGACTCTCTGTGTTTGATCATTGTTGTCTCCGAAGGATTGCTGACATCCAGTGGCAACACCATGTTAGTAATGCAGAGGTTCGGCATCGTGTGTTCGGGCACAGAGACGATAATGCAATTGGTGTCACCATCTTGAAACACCGACTTCGGTGGCTTGGACATGTCCTACGAATGTCGTCCCACAGAATTTCACGTTGTGCATTATTTGCCGACTTTGGGACTGGTTGGAAAAAACGGAGAGTTGGTCAATGTATGACATGGTGTCGGGGTATGAAAGAAAACTGTACAGAACTGGTATCTGTTGGTCCTTCACGACTCCCTGGCTGGGGTCCGAGAGATGGTGTAACACAGTGTCTAGAGATGTTATCAGATATGGCTCAGAATAGAAGCCAGTGGCGATCCTGCTGTAACCTTCTTCTACTTTCTTCACAAAAAGTGGTTGCTTCTTCCTTAACTGAAAGATTTCTTCTGGTTGTGCCTTTTTGTTTCCCCATTATTATTATTATCTTTATTATACTACCTTGCACTAATCTGGTCGTTATGGTTCTTCTTTTTTTTTCTTTAACGCTCCTTACCTTATCTTTTTCTCTTCCCATTCTCATTGTTTTGCGTGGAGCACATAAATTCGGTGCTCTCTTGTATCAGCATTTATGTGTTCAAATATATAAATTTTACCTGTGACGGAGTTCTGTCCCCCATATACACTTGATTAAGAAACCGGTCAACAGCTTGTTATTCGCTCAAAGATATAGTCTTAATTACATTTTGTTTCAATACATCGTATAGCCTCTCGGGGTCCGGTTCAGCTAACGCCTATCTAACGCTATCGGCCACTTAGTCTTGAAGGGTGGTTGCAAGGCCGAATTCGTCTCTTTGTAGGCTAATGCGGTTAGTCAGAAAATAATTTTTAAGCGGGAAAATAAAGATTAAGGGCTTCACGGACGACGTTTGTGGTAAACTTGACAGTATTTTCGGAAGACATGTTTGTAAAAAATAAACAGTACACGAATAGTAATATAAATGTCAAAAAGAGAAGTGGACCAATAAGAACAATGATAATAACAAATGGCACAATTTATAACATAGAACAGACTTACTAAATTTCACCAGTACATCAAATGTTTGTGAAATGTCAGTATTTATCATGAGTATTATCTTTATGTCTAGTAATGTTTATGAGTTTACGTATGTGTAACTAAAATAATGATATAAGAGATCCACAAATATAATTACAATCTAGATAATGATCCGAATCGTTGAATTTTTCAGAATTAAATTTTACCGTCGAAAATCACGTCGTGTTCGCATGTCGGGGTCAACATTTCTGCAGTGGATTAGCTTCGTTCATCACTCACCTTGATAACCGTTACCATATAAATCTCAACAGTGTTTGGTGTCAGAAGGTAATAAGAAGCGGCGACTACAGCTTATTAGCAGACAATACAGATAACAAAGCTACAATCACACTGGGCGACTTTGAAGCAGAGGCGAATATGCGTGTGCAAGCAAATACAGAGGCGAATTTATAGTCAAATCGGATAAGAACACATCAAGTTAAAGGCTACCAATAGGATTCGAGTACATATATATTGGGGAAGAGAATGATTCATCGGGCGATATTTAAGCTATCAACATTCAGGCTAGAGAGAGATACGTGCGTAGGTTGTCATGTGATGAAGAGTACACGATTGTACCAGCGTGGTAGTGATCATAATAGTACAAAGAAATAGACGAGTTGTTACTGCTCGAATAACATTGTCTGTTATGTTAATAAAAGGGCTTAGCAAAAATTAACCATAATAGAAGTAGATCGTAGGGGAGCTGCTATAGTCTATACAAACATTAACGACTTAAAAGGAAACTTATGAAAACAAAACAACATTTATTTGTCTAGCTACAAACCAGTCCAATCAGAATGCTATAGATCTTTAAATTGAGATGTTCGAGGCAGATTGGAAAAAAGTAATCATTACTTAAGGAGCTCAGTATCGACTCATAACTTGGTAGGAAAACAGAATAATGCATTCCTCTAACATGTATACGACATAGTGTTATGATCTGTCCAAAGAATTCTGAGACTTAAAGTTTCGCATGATATACATGTATATCAATTTTAAACCGAGTCGTATGTATGTGCTATTTCACAACACGAATTTAGGAAATAATTTGAGATAGTATGTATTTTTGATTGTTACGTTAGGTGTTTTCTTTACTAACACTAAGCATAAAATAAAATTACCAAGCAGAACAGCCAATAACCACGTAAAGTAACATAATTTAGTGTATCATTACATCAATGTGGAAAGATAGTCAAAAATATATAACGTACAGAATTCATATCGGAAGGGGTTGGTGACTCAATAGATTCCATTTCAAGTATACTCAGTTCTGAATTAGATTTGACTTGTGTATTTGGAGATGTCCCATCGTCAAAACTGTCGCGTTTAGACTGTATTTGCTTTGCTTGATCGTGTGGTAAATTACGAGGTGTGAAATGCATAGGTAATGATTGATTAGGTCCTCTGTTAGACGTAGACATAACGTACGGAGAACTTCGACTATTATCTTTAAAGTTTTGAGTAGAACCAGAGTTTGCAGCTATAAGTGATGAGCCACAATTACTGAAAGTCAAGTTCCTCTGCTGGTAGCTTCTTTCAGGTAGTTGCAATATCATTTGTTGTGAATCTCCGATTGGCTGAAAAAGTTTAGTCTGAAAAGAAATGTTAAGCATTAATCCAGAAACATGTTCGGGTACATCTGTTTAAATATACCAGATTTATAAATCAATAAGGTTTTCGTGCTTTTGCCATACTTAAAATTTAAAACACATGAACTACAAAACTGAATCATAAACCAGTTAATCATTTGTCATATCGCACTTTTCACAGATAACCGAAATAAACTACTCAAACTGGTTGCGATCGAATCAGTAATTTATTTAATTCATCGGAAGTATAGTTATGTCAGGTAGTTTTAATTAATATGCTTCTGATGTTAAAAATACATGATAAAGGTTTGGTTTCTAGACTGAATGACATTATAGACAAGAAATAAATTAAGATACATGGTATTTCATTTACTGTTTCAGATTAAAAGCCACCATGTAATCGATAACTTAAATTATCAGTAATCATCGGAACATTCAAACCTATGTATTTGTCGCAATAAAATAACGTACAGAAATAAAAACTATCAAAGATTTGGAGTATGACAGTTTGACCATAATAGTCATTGGTATGTTCGATATAACTCATGACATTTGTTAAGGATATCAGTCAGTCAGCTACAACGTAGGAACCAGGCACATATATACATCGGACCAAGTTGCCATACCTCATCAGCATAAGATGAACACCGAATTCATAGACGCAGTTAATTCAATGGTACAGGGAGAAAGAATTAGTTGGTAGAAAAAAATGTATAAAGCAATTTCAATCTCACCGTTTAAGGCAATACGAAGAGTGTATACATCTACACAATTGTGATCTAGTCTCAGTCATGTCACCCACAGTCTCCAACCATTGGTTACGATAGTCACGCGGACCCCAACCAAGTAGTCTGCATCTACCAACATGGCTCAGACTAGAGTTAATAACTTCAAGCACTGATTCCACCTTCCGGTTTGACAGCCCCTAACCTTCTTCCATCCGTATCCAACACTACTCAGCATTGCGCGCCGTGGTAATCGGTGTTCAGGCATACGCAACACGTGACCAAACCATCTCAGTCCATGAAGATTCACAACCTCACCAACTGACTTACCATCATTCCCTAAAACCCTGCGTCTAACCTCACTATTACTTACCCAGTGATCCCAGCAGATGACAGCAATACTTCTAAGGCATCTGTGGTCAAATACTAGTAGCTTACGAATATTTTCTACTCTTAATGGCCACGTTTCACACCAATAAAGTAAAGCAGAACGAACTGCTGCGCAGTATACTCGTCATTTAATTGATAGACGATATATCGCCTTCATCATAGGTGACGTAAGTTGGTAAAAGCCAGACGAGCCTTCTGAATTCGTGCTGAGATTTCGTCACACACCAACCCATTTGGGCTGACCAGTCTTCCAAGATAAGTGAAGTTGTCAACGTGTCCGACTACGTCACTCTCTATCCTTAGTTCAGATGTTGACGCAGGCCAGTCCTGGAGCAACAACTTGTATTTAGAGAGGGAGCGGAGCATCCCAAACATTCTGGCATTGTTGCTCGGTGCTACCAAAAAACTCTGCATTTCATCAGCGTCTTCACCAAACAGGACTATATCATCTGCGTATTCTAAGTCAATAAGTGGACCTCTTGGTAGGAGATCAATTACCCGAAATTCAGTCGACGAGAGCATTATTTCCATCAGTAGGCATATGATAAAGTTAAACAAAAGTGGAGAAAGTGGACAGCCTTGACAGACACCACTTGAGGTTGCAAAAGCAGGTGACAGTTCGTCATAAGCTCTCACTCAACTGGTACTATTCCAGTAAAGAGCCTTCACAAGGTTTATGAACTTCCGAGGTACGCATTTCAATAACAAACACTACCACAGAACCTCTCGGTATACGGAGTCAAATGCTACTTTTAAGTCAAGAAAGATCATCATTGTCGGACACCGATAAACATGCCTATGTTCTAGAACCTGACAAATCGTGAATATGTGGTCGATGCAGCCATGACCGGGCCTGAAGCCAGTTCATGAGTCTTTCTTAGACATCTGATAATTATTGAGGCTAGTATTTTAGATGCTATATTAGTTAAACTAATCGCTCTATGGTTATCACACGATGCTTTTGACCCCTTCCTATATATTGGGACAATCAGTGGTTGCGACCAGTCACATGGGACTATATTCAGTTCTCAGATTTTTGTTAAAATATTAGTCAACCTAATCTATAAAACTAGACCACCATCCCTAAAGAAATATAAAGTTAATCCATCTGGACCAGCTGCTCTTCCTCTTTTCAGATTAACTACAGCTATTTAAACTTCAGATAGAGTCCGAGGACCTACTTCAATGTTACATTCATGCTGTCTGTGAATGTTGGGTAGTTGTAGAATAGACGAAGGCCACAGAATTGCTCCTTAAAATGTTCCGTCGAGAGAGATGATAAAAGTGTTGTCTTTTTCCAAAATAGTCTCACTTACGATTGACTTATTAATTCCAGTTTATTTTATTAGTCAGAAAAGCAGTCTGGTGTTACCTACAGCCGCCGCCTTTTCTATCTCTTTTGCTTCCGTTGCCCACCACTGCTCACGATCATTCCGTAGACTCTTGGTTAGCATACATCTAATTTATTTCCATTGTCCATTGTGTTCAGAGCCTAATGGCATAAGTTTACGAGAGTCTATCAGTGCAATAGATGTTGCAGAAGTCCATTGGTTTTTCATAACCCTTTGATTCAAATCACTAATGGATGTCACTGCTGTTTCCACAGCTGTTCGTAAATCTTTCCAAGCAACATCTAGGTCAGCTTCGTTTTCGAAATTGCATAAGTATGACTTCAGTTGTTCCTGGAATCTACTCTTGGCTTTCTCGCCAATGAGTTCAATTCTAACGGGTCTTCTTAATGTGGCTTCTCTGTGTCCAGTGAGGTGCAGGAAAATGTGCGCTCGTATTACGGCATCATCAGAGTCTAAAAGTTTATTCCAGAACGAGCCACAGTCTTCTATCGAGCCTCTCCAACGATGGCTGACGGCAATAGGCTCTATTTGAGTCCATCGTAGGTTTGGTGCAGTGGGTCTCCATGTTAGACGATGTCTCTCCTTATGCTTAAAATTAGTGCTTGTTAACAACAAACGATTGTCTGGGCACGGTTGCAACAAACGATCACCATTATCTGTTCGCTGAGACAGAATACAAAAATACCCACATATATGTCTTTCCATTTGGTTTAAGCTACCCACTTGGGCATTAAAGTCATCTGCTACAAGTACTATGTCTGAACGTTTAGCTTTTTGAGAAAGTTTAGAGAGCTCTCTGTAAAATCCAGCATTCACTGCATCTGAGCTGCAGTCAGTGGGAGCAAAGGCAGAAACGACGAAAAAGTAACGATGTGTGTCTCTATCCCTCCGAGTTCTTACAGAGCCGTTTAGCCGAACACCACATAGACGACTGTTAACAGGAATCCATTCTAAAAGTGCTTCTCCTGCCCCCATACTTAGTGCTATGCCTATATCTGCTACTCCACGAGAACTAGCCATCGGGTCACCAGATAAACGAAGAGTGTATCTCGTCGGCTCCCCGTCACGGCTAGGCGAGGACAAGAGTGGCCGCATTACGATCCTGTATGTGTGCTTTAGAGATACAGCAATTATCAACGGTACGAAATTCTAGAGTCTTACTCAAGTAGACCTGCCGACCGACTTGACATAAGGTACGTGCGTCGAAAGCCTCAATCTGTAGTTTGGAGCGAAGTTTCAGTAGAATTGGGACAGTATTTCGCGCACTAGAATCGTCGGCAATGGTAACATTTGAGAAATTATAGAATTGATGATCGAGATAGGAGGAATAAAAGGGATTGAAGAGGAAAATTTATTATGAATACAATGCTGTTAGGGGTAGGAAGGCGGTTATCGCTCTCCGGTTGCCCACGCCGTGGAAAGGTTTTTCTACAGGTACCACAAGAAATAGGGTTAGAGTTGGTCTTAGTGACGTGAGAGCGTGACTGCAGAACCCAAGGGACAACTGCTTGAGGCCGGTCACGACCTCTTTGTGTTAGCTTCGTACTTGTTGAGACCTTACCCCTGGATACAGATATCCGTGGGATAAGACGAGGTGTGTATTTGTAGGGTCAGTCTTTTCTATATCACCCTTCCTTTGTGGGAAGGCAGAATCGCTGTTATGTTGGTTGTCTGAAGGAAACACCTTAGTGCCGTCACACTTCTGTACAGTCAGTAGTACGTCTTCACCCTCGGACCTTGGGATATCACGCCCAGATTAAAGTTTCGAAGAAAAAATATAACCATATAACTCAAAAGAAATGGCTTAAAACCTAATTGGATTGGCTAAAATGGTAATTAAAGCATTAGTAACTTTAACATGATTCAGTAATTTAAGTAAATTGATTGAGTGTGTGTAGTTTAAATTCCTAAAAATTAACCACACATTATTTGATGCACTCAAGGATTCCAGATCGCTCTTTTAATCTGAAAGTTATTGAAAACTGTAGTCTGTTTGTAAGCAGGAGAGGTGAAAAGAATCAATAACGTAAATTCATTCTTACGACAGTATGTGACTATAATAATACATCATTTGATTCCAGTCCATAATATTTATGAGAGTTATTATTTAATATAGTCTTACTAATCCAAGAAGAGATACAACTCGACAGCTTAGACAGTTGATTTACTAAGATACTGATTTGCAAAACATTTCACTAACCATCGTTTAGATAATCGGATATTTACATTCATAGAATATAAAATAAACTCGTGCTTAATTGCGCTAATCTTTAACACTCAAGTAGACAATAAACCGAGTCTAATGTATATGAGATTAATAGCATTGTTAGAACGCAACTGTACATAACGCTATTCACACTTATTAAGGAAATATAATGAAGAAGTGACTTACACTAAGCCACGAAACGTCAGAAAATCTAATTTTCTACTCATTGGGATATTACAAATATATTATTTATTTATAACAATCAACCCAATGCTCAATTTATTCGAAATTATCAAATCAAACCTTGGTAATGATACCTGTTTTGTCCTGGTACAAAACTCCTCGTCACTGCGTATCATTGAACCCAATGTCGGGAAAAAGTCTCAAACTACAACGAAACAATTACCTAATGCTCCAAAATTTTCAATTTTTATCCAACTTAGTTCGATTTGTGATTTTAATAACAAAAACAAACCAGTTTATTTAAGCTATTCAAAAAAATAATTGTGTCTATACTGCACAAATTATACGGGTGACAGAGTCAGTCAGTCAGTCAGCTGCAACGTAGGACCAGGCACGTATATGCATCGGTCCAAGTTGCCATACAGCATTAGCACAGCAAGATGAACACCGGATTCATAGAAGTAGTTAATTCAGTGGTAGTAATATACAGAAGAAAGATTGTGTATAAGGAGATAGTACAGGAAGAAAGAATTAGTTGGTAGAAAGAAAGATTTGAAGTGATTTCAATCTCTTAGTTTAAAGGAAGGCAGAGAGTGTATACACCGACGCCATTGTGATCGATTCTGAGCCATGTCACCAAGAGTCTCCAACCAATGGTTACGAAAGTCACGCGGACCCCAACCAGGTAGTCTGCATCTACCAACATGGCTCATACCAAGACAGATAGTAACTAAGATTCATTGTAACGAATATGTTCACAGGTTTATTAAACCACAACTGCAACTCGGTCGACCCATTATTAAAAAAAGAACTTTGTTGAACCAACTAGATCCTAATTCATAATCACGAGCGATCATCATCACAGTTAACAATTCAATCAATAATGATCAATGAAGAATGAATATATGTCTAGAAAGACCCGACTAACACTATTTTTAATGAACAAAAACCAGTAGTAGCCATCATTTATTTGAACACATAAACATTGGTAAAAGGGGGAACCAAATATATATGTGAGGACTGAGATACTGTCCGAGTGATCAAACCGAAGCAGGTGATCTTCTTAGGGGGTCACACCCACAGCCTTTGACCTAGAGTTCTAATCCAGAAGGTAGTGGAACAACGTTAAAAGATGCAGTCCCATGATAGCCGGTCACCAACAATAGGTTCATACGCCATTTGTTCCTTCAGGATACTGGAGCCCATGTGCACCATTGGTTTAAAATCGGGGTTTTCCAACTCCCCTAGGTGGATCCTCTATATCACATATATAACGTTTACCGCTTGTTAATCAGCTGATAATATTAGAATTGTCCAAAATAACTATTCAGTAAGTTGATTTTAACATGTTGACTTTTGTTAAAACTATTTCACATCTTTGCAGAGTAAAACTTTCTTCTCCTTACCATCTAGCTCATCAAGTAATGAAAATAATTTGTCAATGAATTCATACTGTTTTATTTCTATGTTTTCTCTGTCAGTGTTGATACAGAGATTTTATTATTTAGCTAATCATTAAATAAACAATAACGAATGCAAACAATCCGGGTTTATTTAAACTCAATTGATTCTAATTATAATATCCCGATGTTATCTTTGCTTCTAATCAATAAATATGAAATCAACCAGAGACAAATATAAAGAATATTTGCTAAGTATATTGATCAGATAATTATTATAAGGTTGGTAAATTATTAGGAAGAATTGTAGATAGTTAGAAGAATTCAGGCTGTCCTGTTTCACCTTCTTTTTCATTTTTAATCTCAAAATAGAATTTTTATGGTACTATTGTAAGAAACGTTATGTACGTGAAATATCTGTTCTCGCTTTTTGTTTTGATGTATTTATAAACGATAAGAGCCTTAAAACATGTCCTACAAGACCAAGTTGACAAGGTACACGAGGACTCCTGCGTCAGTTTATAGAGACTTCAGTCACATGAGCATAAACTTTATTATGATTGAAGCTTTTCTTATTACGTGAGTTAAATAAAAAGACACGAAATCGAAACGTTATGCCAGTTCAAACATTTAAGAAAGAATTAAAACCAAAATAATTTGATCAAAATGGAAAATAGGCAATAATACCACAGTGAAATGACATCTAATTAGTAGCTTACTGGATAAGCTTCCGTCTGATGCTGCTGATCAGCTGCATTTAAAGAAGCCAAGAGAGCACTAGCTCCAAATCCTCGGTTGTACTGACTAGTTAACTTAACATTATCATCAATTTGCTGCGTCGAAGCTTGAGAACCGGAAAGAAGAAGATTAAGACATGGGTGTGATGTTGTCGTTGGACTACTAATGATCAGTTTGGATCCTTTTGATCGACATTCACTTGATGTTCTGGGTCCCAGTTCTTCATGAACAATGCATTCTTCATTCAGTGTCTGCTCACGCATACGCTGCTGTCGGGCAGATGTGCGAGACATGCTTTGGAAAGATCTTTTTCCTGAACATATGGCGAAAACTGCACAGCACGTCAGTAATGAGCGAGGACTTCCTTTACCTCGTGAACACGATTGAGTAATGTAGCTGATTAATTACCGACAAGGGAATCCAATAATCTAATAAAAAGCAAATAGTTGTTGTCAAAGTAAGATTAGAAATGCGCCGCATCTATCATTGAACTAGAGATTCATATAGCACATGAATGAAAAAGTGAATTACTCTCCTTGTCTCCACGATCTTAACATTAAAGCTTAATCTAACCGTAAACAATCATATTTAGTTTTAAATACTACTTTCAATTTATACAAATAAATTAACTCAAATTAGTTAGCATATGATAATTGATTTGCATGCGTGACCGTCTACAGAAATTAGAAAAGCAGTAACTGAAGGTCTTTACGTCTGAATTTAATTATGGTGACTGAGTTTTATGATGTCCTTAAATAATATGCCAACTTTAATTTACGGAAGCATATATGTTGCTATACACAATCCCTTGGAATTACCAGTCATTTGTTAGTAACAACAAAAAATACTGACAATCTTGTCAGGTAATTCTGCTCATGTATACTTAATATTCAGACAGCTGCATGAATGTAATCATCTAACACTTGGTCATGGAGCAAAAACCAATTTTGATTTTTTCGAATGGGAACCTAATCCAGTTAACCCTATTACGACAGTCAGCACCTTCCATGATCTAGCCATTTAAGAGGCAGTTATTTGAGTGAAAAAGTACAGAACCACCTAACAACTCGAAGGGCTGTGACTTCACAAACACTTTATTTATGATTCGACTTATTCGACGATTGGAGAAACAGGTTCGAATACGCGAATTGGTGTGCTGTGAGTGTTTACGACATTTTCGTTAAGTTTCTTGTTATACGCTAAATGACAATCAGAATATGAAAAAATCACAATAACAGATATATTCGGACTTGACAGAACTGTTTGAAAATCTGATCTTATTAGTTGTGAAAGCTATTTCTTACACTGGTTACTCTACAGGACATATAAACATAAAGACAGAACATAGTATAGGCATAAACTAATCCAAGTCATCACGAATCCCATCAAAATCGGATGTCTATATTAGCAAAGTAAAAGGAATTAATAGGAAGTAATGATGCAGACAGTAGTGAAGTACTGTGCATGGGAATCATGATTTAAAGCGAACGAGTAAAATCAGGTAAGAATAATATAATTTCGTTTCTGACTTGGGGAAATAGAATGACTACCTAGCCTGAAATAAGCTCGACTTGTTCTTGAGATCCGCGAGTGATGTCAAACTTTAAGAAACGACAACTGTAAAGTCTTTCCGCTTACACATGAATATATATTTCATTCCCCGAAATATTCGATGAATAAGGGTATGGGCGATACATTTCACGGTCACACTTTATTTTTGTTTCCCCGTAACATTTCGAGAAAAACCACTACCACTGTTCGGGTAACGTAGTAAGGTTGTGAGCTTTGGCTGGACTAAAAAAAAATCAAAATTCGTTGAGGAGTTAATTTCAGAAAGCTAGGTGTTTCCTGGATTACACAACCACATTTTATTTGACAGTACGACCTTATCTAGTATCCACTATCATGGACTCTCAATTGAAAGAAATAAAGTAATAGGAAAGACCATAAAATTAGGGAAACTAATACAGGCGACTAAGGATGTGCTCAAGTCAAATGACCTATTATACTTATTGCCAGAGGTTGAAGTTCACATATAGCTCGAAACTAAGCTACGAAATTGCAAGGCTCGTCACTGTATGGAATTCTTTAACAGACATCAGGTCTGTGGATAGCAGGATATCAAAACAGAATTCTCATAACGAACAAAAGCATGAATTCCGATCACCTACGGTTGACATGAGCAATTGCAAAAACACATAACGTATATTTGGTCTAGTATAAATTAGTTGAACTTTAATCTGAAGCACCTGTCCTTATTTTAATAAATTTTAAAACAAGATAGCTGACAATTCAGACCAACGCTGTGATGCGCTAGCCCTTACGCTAATATTTCACTGACCTGAAGCCGCCAATTTTTACCACTTGGATCACGCGCTTTTCTAAGTGAAGTTCAGATATTTGACCTCATTTTTGTACTCTTGCTTAATATTTTTAGGTGATCGTTCCTTAATATAATAACTGCAAAGATAATTTAAATGGCAAAGCCGTTGCATTTTGCAAACATAACAGAACCTGTGAATTTGAGGATTTAAGTTCTATTTTACGTTCGTGAGTTGAGGATAGAAGGGAAAGGGGCAATATCACTTGTTTTCTGGTGAGCTTGTGTGTCTGACTGATCTCTCGAATGAGTCATCAGGAGTTAGGGACACCACATCTTCACGTATTAGTTCTATGAAGTGACCAGCTGACAAACTCGTTGGAGGTAAAGACCTGTATAAGGCAAGGTCGGAGAGAACAATGCTATGGAAGATTCTTTGACACTACAGCATACCTCAGAAGATAATCGATATCATACGGAATTCCTATGATGGATTGAACTGCAAAATCGTTCATGAAGGACAGCTGACAGACTCGTTGGAGGTAAAGACCTGTATAAGGCAAGGTTGCTTACTCACAAATAATTGATCACAGGGTGATGATCAATGTCATGAGTGTCAAGTCCCTCTTAGTGCAGATCGAATGCTTACTCTCACTCTCTCTTTCTCCTGGTGATCGACTGGATCATGAGGATGTCAACATCTGAAGGGAAGCACGGGATATAGTGGACAGCTAGAATGCAGCTGGACGATCTGGACTTCGCAGGTGATCTGGCTCTTCTATCGCACACGCAACGACAAGTGCAGAAGGAGAAGACCGAAGTAGCAGCAGCAGTAGGTGTCAATATACACAAAGGAGAAAGCAAGATTCTCCGATACAACACAGCATGCACCAATCGAATCACAATTGACGGAGAAGATTTGAAAGATGTAAATACCTTTACATATTTGGGCAGCGTCATTGATGAACACGGTTGATCTGATGCAGATGTGAAGGTGTGGATCGGCAAAGCGAGAGCAGCATATTTACAACCGAAAAACATCCGGAACTCAAAACAACTATCTGCCAAGCGACACCAAGGTCAGGATTTTCAATACAAGTGTCAAGACAGTTCTACTGTATGGGATGGAAACCTGGAGAACTACGAAAGCCATCATCCAGGAGATACAAATGCTTATTAGCAATCGTCTACGCAAAACGCTTCGGATCCGTTGGCCAGACATTATCAGCAACAACCTACTATGGGAGAGAACAAACCAGATCCCAGAGGAGGAAGAAATCAGGAAGAAGCGCTGGAAGTGGATAGGACGCTTATTGAGGAAAGCACCCAACTACATCACAAGACAAGCCCTCACACGGAATCCTCAATGTCGAAGGAGGAGAGGAAGACTAAAGAACACTTTACGTCGAGAGCTGGAGACATACATGAGAAGAATGAACAAAAATTGGATAGAATTGGAAAGGAAGACCCAGGACAGAGTGGGTTGGAGAGTGCTGGTCGGTAGCCTATGCTCCATTAGGAGTAAGATGAGTAAGTAAGTAATCACCATTCTGTGATCTTATCACAGTTCTATAGTATGGGATTTACAGTCCGTTTTTAGATTCCATATTTAGCGAGAAAATCTATCGAAATGGTGGAACACATTGGCCTTTATAATTGTTGTTAAGACAGTTTTCATTGACATCGTTACCATATTGCTATACCAGGGAACCATCCTTATGTCATTGTTTGTCATTAGTTTTGGTTTGGCAGCCAAAGATAGATAGTTACACTATATTTTATTGTCCATGGATATTCCAGCCATTAAGACATCTCCTCACGAAGTTTTTTAATTGCACACATGACCGTATTAATCGCATTGGTGCTGAATGTTATCTGAGCACAATTCATTATGACCTTCAATTTTTCATAAATTATTAATAGAGGATATAGAGTTAGGTCTCAAACCTTTTATAAATTTTTAATCTTCCTTCAAACAAATCGTTTAATTTCGTGTTCCTTAAGAATTATCCTCAGTATCCAATTCTTTTCAGTAGTTACGTTTTCAAAGCAAGTTTTAACAACATACATTAACGTTAAACCTATTAGTTTGTAGAAAGAAAATTATTAGCTCCACGTTCATTCATCTTGACTGTCTGTCCTCTGGGTACTATATTGTTCTAGTAACAACATAAGCTGTACCACAAAGTACCAAGTAGAATAATACGCTCTGTCCCGTAACGGAGGCCTGAGAAGATTATTCCTAATAAAAAGCAGTAAGCTTCCTAACCTAATGGACGTCAAAGAATGGTCCTATGTATCTATGTGACATAAATATGTAAAGTGAGGAGGAGATATAAGACCTCAGGATTTCAAATGAACTCGACTGATAATTACTATAAACCTTTAGTAAAGTTGTGAAGAACAAATAAAAATATGGAAATATATTGACTCAGCTTATACTCCAAAACGTACAAACGGAATAAGTTAATAGAACACAGAAACAAATATATAAAATATATGAGTTACTTGGTATTTTCAAAAAGGTGCAAGTTGAAGAATAATAATAACAGTTTATTCTCAAATAACAGTTTGTTACATGAGGCATACCGGTTTACAGGCAAGACCGAATTGCTACAAATGATACAATTTCCAACTGTAGTGAATTACTCAGCTGGGTCGATAATTTATAAGATATGAATGTAGATGGTTTTAATCAGTATCACAGTTGGCGCGCTTCATGAAAGTTGCGTTGCGACATGCAACCGATGGTCGATAATAGATTCATGTGAAGTTAGGGGCTTCTAGAAATCGCAATCTTATATCCCTTCGGAATATTTGAGGCTTTAAGGTTGGTGCAAGACGAGGTCACCCTTTCCGTATCTCAAAAGGGCTGAAAAATGGTGCAAGAAAAAAAGAAAACAAAAAAGGACGAGAAACAGAGCAGACAATGTTCATGAAGAAATAGTTACGGTATGAATAATCAGTCTGATTCTCTTTCATTAAAGTATTTATTAAGCAGGAGCACCCTAATAAGTTAAAGAAAATAAATGTAGACAAGGTTTGAGTGGATAAACAACTGACAAATGGAGGTGGTTCAGAAAGAAACTGAGAGTATGGGAATATGTATGGTTATAAAATATAGTGCTGTCTCCCTTTTTTTGACGCCATTCGAGCCTTTTTTAGATTTTATAGGGTCTTGATTAGGCTTCGTTTTTTAGCGAATTGTCTATTTTGTTCGTAATAGGATTACTGGGTAGGAAGTGAAATCAATTCAACGTTCTGAACACGATTTAATGAGGCATTTTGCATGATAAACGAGCGTCAATACCATTAGTTCGTGACATTCCACTAGACCATAAGGAGCTGTAATTTAACAAAATGTTCTGCCCTACAGACATGGGTGGTTCAAATAAATACCCGTAATTATGATAGGAAAAATAATTCCTAAGAATATCAGATAAAGCGATCCCACACATTTGTGTGTAACTAACAGTGGTCAGGATAAAACATGTGTGGTAGAATCATTAGCAAACAGGTAGGAGACGGCAATCAACGAAATCCTGACAAATATGAGCATTAGGCGAACGACTATCTGCATGACGTGCGAATGATGAGCAGGAATACAGATGGTCAACTTAAATAAAAAATTCGTCACTGTTGTTGTAGTGGTATGCAAACACTCAAAATAAATAGTCCTGAAATTCTCAGGCAATGACGCTGACCTTGTTAGTCTCACTAATGACAAACTGTCTGAAGGCGCTCGGTCACACGTCACGGGTGGGTAAATCGTGCTGAGCATCGCTTGCAACTATCATCCATCTTAGACTAAACGCTTCTCGAAATATTGATAGATTTTCAAATATATCTTGGAACGCGTTCATTTATGGCTTCTTACATGACTGGACTGGTATCTTTTGCATGTTCGCGGTTTATTGACAATAAGGTCATGTTTGACTGAGTTCAAGAGCACAGCGTGGTTCAGTGTATGATAGTTGACCTTTGTCTGTCTGCTTTGAAAGATTGCTGGAATCCCTCTAGATGGTTATCTGATCCCATATTGTTGGGAATATATTTATTGATTCACAGCGTACTAATTTGTGTTAGACTAACCCTTGGCTGTATAGCATAGGCAGTATCATTTGAAAAACGTTTAAATTTGATATATAGTTTGTATTTTGACATAATCTAGTACGAGTAACTTAAAGCGCTTTGTATGCCCTACAGAAAAACGTAATCTGGTCTAATCGAATAAATTTTGGTTCATTAGTTTTGCATTGGAACCGAATATTGGCATTCGGTCGTCACACCAATTATGCTAACTAATGGTTTTTCAGGGCCTTACGACTATCTAAAGAAAGTTATCCTCAAGCAAGAAGACCTAACGGATTGACAAGCACAAGACAAGATGTACCACAACATCGAGTTACAACATGACTCAGAGACAGAAGTGGTGCCGCGTACATGAGGGGAAACTGATCAACTAACCATTGACTAGGTCATGTTTAGACAGCACTTCATGTCTAGGCTCATCCAACAGGTGCAGGTAGTTCTCGTCTCATTTCAATATAACGCAGTAAATGAAATGGTTGCATCTGCCTACCGGTTTCCGGAAATCATCAGTACATCTAGCACCGAGTAGTATTCCGCAATCAAAACCCTTAAGCAACACAAAATGGCTTTACAAACATTTATAATAGCTTCACTAGCTATCTTCATATTCATCATAATCGCAAATACTCCAAAACTTCCCGAAAATATGTTTGTAGACAAAGAGAGACGAATAACCTTAACTGGTCATGTAACTCTTAGAAAGATTCAGACGATTCCTTACAAAGTGACCAGAGGAGGACGGTTCTCAGAAATGCCACTTTAAGTTGAGGAAATGCTGTAAAAGGTTGCGGTGGCGAAACAATGATGAATTTAGGGGTATGAATTCCGCGCACGCCTTTTTCAACAGCAGTCCGATAGCACGTTCAGACAATGATTTTCATTTCTAGCATCTGGACCTTGTTTGCGAACGAATCAAAACATGGGATTATTGTAAACACTCAAAAATGTCGAATCGAAACCAACTCCCCGGATTTT